GTTGATGAGGACTTGCACCGCAACTTGACATGGACTCTGTAAGTGCCTCGAATGGAGGGTTTTGAGTATTCCGTCTAACGCATAACAGAGAGAACGACATCGACGGTGTTTTGGAGTTGACGTTCGCGGTTGATGACGAGAAGTTCGGCGAGCGTACCACTGTTGACCTGAAGCCGGGCGGTCGCGACATTCCGGTGACGAACGAGAACAAGCATGAATATGTTGAGTAAGTTGCTCGTGCTTGTAAGCTGGTGGACTTCGCTGACGGTCATAGATTGGTGACGGAGTGGAAGATTGTGAAGCGGGTGGAGGAGCAGTTCAATGCCTTCATGTCTGGGTTCAACGAGCTGATTCCGGCCGATCTGGTCAACGTGTTTGACGAGCGCGAGTTGGAATTGTTGATTGGTGGTATTGCGGATATTGATGTTGACGACTGGAAGAAACACACCGATTACCGCGGCTACCAGGAGCAGGACGAAGTCATCCAGAATTTCTGGAAGATTGTCCGCAGCTGGGATGCCGAACAAAAGTCTCGTCTCCTACAGTTCACCACTGGTACCTCGCGTATTCCGGTCAACGGATTCAAAGATCTGCAAGGCTCGGACGGGCCTCGCCGGTTCACTATCGAGAAATCGGGCGATCCCAACGCATTGCCCAAGTCGCACACTTGGTATGTCCCCTGGCTTCTTTCATCTTAGGCAGCTGGCTAACTTTCCCAGCTTCAACCGTCTGGATCTACCTCCGTACAAGACACACGAAGCTCTGGAGCACAAGATGTCCATTGCTGTGGAGGAGACATTGGGTTTCGGACAAGAGTAGAGTTGCATGATCAGACATGTTGTATATGACCTCTACATTGAAAATCAGGTCAAGCGCCATGGGCTGTGGTATGGCGCTTATACAGGACACAAGTTTCTAGCATTGAGAGATAATCATTCCCCACCTGCGTTGATGATATATTATTGCTGCATGCGCGGGTGGAATTGGAGCCGAGCAAGCCGAGCGAACAGATGCGCGCTGGAGCCCGAGGACTTACTTTTATGTTTGAATCGTCTTTATTTCCGATTGAATTGTGGCGAACTGTATATAGTGTATTATTGTTCGGACAACTGGGAGCTGCCATTTGGGCCAGGCTGGATAGTAAATAAGTTAACCATTGTAGATTTGCCCCATCATCGATGGGCCGAGTTCTTGAGAATTCCTACCTGTGCCTTTCTTAGAACATCTTGTCTAAGTGAATCGATGGACAGAACACCACTCTCAATGTTAGTTGCCAAATTAACATGGATGACAGCCATCTATTCCAGAGTTGTAAGTGTGCACACCATAAGCTTTTCGCATTTGTCATTGACATCTCATCTAATTTATTCAGATATACATGAGCCCCTTCCGACTCTGCTGATACCTCAAGTCAAGGACTTGGTGTGGCCCCATCCTTTCCCTTTCCATTTCAGTTCTCGCTTAATTCTTGAAGGTATAAACCACGCGGCCCCGGCTATCCTTCCCCTTGAACACCACCGTACTCCTTCCATCCTCCGCCACAACACACCTCTCATCCCCGCAGTGCAGGATAATATCCAAATCCCTCCACGCCGGGAAAAACCCGCCCGCCTCCTCGTCGTCGCGCGCAAACCCCACAACGACCGTCTCCCGCGTGGCGCGATACCGGACCGTATACCGGGCGATGCGCGGCCGGACCGAGATCCCATCGTCCTCGTACCAAGAGTTGACGAAGACCTGCCCGTGGGACGCCGCCGCCGCCGCCGGCGGTGGGGGAAAGATCTCCACGCCGCGGTAGTCGTCGACCTCCTCGACAGCCCGCGACGCCGCGGTCTCGTCGCCCGGCACGCGGGTCTGCACCGCCTTGCCCACGGGGATCGCGCCGCCGACGCGCGCGAGCAAGGGGATGCTCGTGCGCCATTCGGACGGGATGGAGACCCATTGGCCCGCGGCGAGGTGGTTGTAGGGGGCGTTGAGGTTGACGTAGCCGTGGTCGTTTGCACCAGCCTTACGGGGCAGGTAGATCCGGGCGACGCTCACGCCGGGCTGGTAGACGCCGCCGACCAGGATCGTGTCCCCGAACCAGAACTGCTCGTCGCCGGCTCTCAGGGGCTTCGTCCACACCTCCGGGTCGGACTCGTAGCCCCAGCCGATCCAGCGCTGGGGCGGCGAGGCCGTCCGGTGGCTCTCCATTCCCAACGAGTAGATGTACGGCAGCATCTCGTAGCGGCGCTTGATCGCGTCGCGCACCAGCGGCGTGATCTCGGGGTACATCCACGGTTCGATGACTTCGCCGATGGAACTGTCGCCGGGGCTGGTCTTGAAGCAGTTGATTGCGAAGCGCGGCGAGTGGATGCCTAGTTGGATCCATCGGAGGAGGAGTTCGGGGGAGGGTTGCGGGCCTGGTGAGGAGGGGGTTAGATGTATGGGTTTTGCTGAGCGAGAGGGGGGGGGGGGAGGGGGCAAGGTCTTACCTTCGAAACCACCGATATCATGACCGCTGCATTGCAGCAGAGAGATCCCCGCACTCAGCGACAGTGCGTTCGCGCCTTTCATGCTTTCCCAGCTGGTGACGTTGTCTCCGCTCCAGGTGCTGGCGGCGTACCGCATGGTTCCCGCCGTGGCGCTCCGGGTGAGAACGAAGGGTCGCTGGTTGGGTTCCAGATCCAGCAGAGCATCATGCGAGGCTTTGCCCATGAGCTCCGTGTGGACTGCCCGGCCCCAGAGGCCGACGGAGTTCGCAGTCTTCCTCGCAGTGGCGTTGGCGTCGGCGTCCCCGATGACCACGGTGGGTTCGTCGCCGGCCAGTTGCCAGTCGTCGTTGGGGAGCGTATACTCATTGTTATCGTTCCACATGCCATCGATCCCCGCACGCTTGAGGCTCTGAACGCCCTCGTACCACCACCGGAACGCCGCGGCGCAGGTGAAATCGATGTGGCATCCGTCACCCCCCGTCGCGCCTCCTGCGCTCCAGAGTCTCATCCAACCCGGCTCGCTGGTGGCTGGATCCTTGAAGAACCCATTCGCGTCCACCAGCTTCTGGAAGTCCGGGTGCGACGCCAAGAGGAAGGGCTTGATGTTCGTCAGAAGACGGATGCCTCGCGCATGGTACTTGGCGATCCACTCCTCGGGGTTGGGGAAGCGGTGCTTGTTCCAGGTGAAGACGTTGCGGACCTTGGGCTCCGTCTCCGCGATGGAATAGCCGGAGCTCATCTGGTGGGCGGAGCACGGGATCCCGTGCTCGCGCAACTTGTCGGCGAAGTCCATGAGCGCCTGGTGGGCTGGGGGCTCGTCCATCATGGTGTACTTGTAACCGCCGGAGATATACCCATAGGCCCAGCGGGGCACCAGGAGGGGGAACCCGACGAGCTCGGCGTACGACCGCACCACGTCCTTCAACGTCCGCCCGACGATGAGATACTGCTCCAGCCCGCCGTAATCCTGCCGGTAGACCTTGAAGTGGCCCCAGAGGCCGTCGACCTCCGAGCCCACGGACCAGGTGCCTCGGCCATGCGTGGTCGAGAAGATCGCTACACAGCCCTGCGGGGTCGCCTTGATCAGCAGCGGGATGTGCTTGTAGAGCGGGTCTGTGTTGTAGACGTCGTATCCGAAGCTGTCGGTGGCGGACAGGATGAAATGGCGCCCGCTGAGGTCCAGCGGGGCGCGCTTCTCCCCGAGTCCCACATGCAGAGCGTCGCGGTCGTGCTCCGTGTAGTGTGCGATGCCTGCCCCGTCTGCGACGTACGAGCGCAACGGCAGATCCCGGTACAGTGGCTGGTTCTGGTCCGGCTGCCCCTTCCACGACAGTGACACCACTGGCGAGTTGGCCCACTCGACGGTTGCCGTGACATCCCCGACCTGGATCGCTTTGCTCTGAGCCTCGCTCCTCGTCGATACGTGGGTGTCCTTGAGGTCGGTGGCCGGCCTGGTGACGCTGGGATACGGAGGTAGAGGGTGGTCCGGCGACGTGAAGGTGACTCGGAATAGGTTTTCACGGACGGGCTCGAAGGAGAACTCGAATTGACGGTTCTCGGACGTAGAACGGAGAGATATACCCGGAGACTCCTGCGCATTTGCAGAGATGGCCTCGTAGCGCTTGGGGCAGCATTCGTTCTGCGGCATGATTATTGCGCATGCAGCTCGGGTTGTGTGGTGATATAAGGGAAGTTGGATGCTTGTATTTCGCGGTTGCGAAGTATAGGAAGTAATCGATTGATTTCTTTCGGCTCGGCATGATGCACAGAGGGCTCTATTTGAGTGATTGAGTGATCTTCTTCCGGTCTGGGCATAATACTGCAAACGCAAAGGTTGGGTTGTATAGACTTTGAAGTATGCACGGATTTCGGCCGTCATCTCCGACCCCCACATTCTTTTCCCCCACATCCACCCCTCATTTTTCCTCAAAGGCATGTCCCCTCGTCTACAATCGTCGGCCTTTCGTACCGATCCCCGAAGCTAGAGAACTTTCCAGCGTCAAGGCATCTGTCCACTTTGCGCCACTGTTGGGCCATGGCACGATCACTGCAGGCTCGTCTACCAGATGCTTACGTCGGTTCTTGTCCGAAAGCCCTCATGCCCCCACCTTCCACCGTCAAGCTAGCCCGGGTTGAAGTGCTCTCACGTGAACGCGGCACTTGCGATGCTGTCAAGCAGTCTCCAGACACGTTTTGATTCGTCCCCGCGTCGGTTCTGGGGATGGCTTGTCCGGTTCTGGGGTTGAGGACTCCTCCCCACGGGGATTGTCGAGCCCCTGTCCATCCCGTGCTGCACGTACACCATGAGAGAGAGGGAGAGAGAGTAAAAAGGGCACCACGCCCCTCCCCTTGGGGCGTGGTGTTTGTTGGTCTGGCTCATCTGCATCCCTGACATTTCGCTGGCTCGAAGGTCTGCAATACAAGAATTTGTCCGGTCTAGAGTGTGGCTGCACTTATTGTCTCGATCTTATCTAGGGCTGTATAACCACAGACTCTCACCAAGCAAGACTCACCACTGAAGACAAGATGACCCATCTCGGAGAGGTCGACCATGGAAAACATGCACAAGATGAACAGATCGAGTCTGTTGAGGCCGTTCCACTTCAGACAAAGGTCCGTCCGACGGAGCCAGAAGTGGACAAAGCCCTGGGGCTGGTGGTAGAAGCAGGCCACTCCACTGTCCTGACGGCCGAAAACAATGCTCGTGTGCTTCGGAAGATTGATATGCGATTGCTGCCTATTCTCTTGGGCATCTACTTCTTACAGCAGCTTGACAAGTCCACCCTCTCATATGCGTCCGTCTTCGGTCTCGTCGAGAAAGCCCACCTGCATGGACAGATGTATTCCTGGCTGGGGGCGGTGGTCTACCTGGTGCAGCTTGTCGCTCAGCCGTTTGTGGCCTATATCCTCGTCAAAGTGCCGCTGGGTAAGTTCTTGGCCGTCACCACCTTTCTCTGGGGCGTGTCGTTGACGTGCATGACCCCGGCGAATAACTTTGCTGGGCTGTTGGTCTGCCGGATGTTCTTGGGACTGTTCGAAGCCGGCGTTCGTGAGTACTGATCCTTCGCGCGGGATTTTTTTTTTTTTTTTTTTCAATTTTTGTCAACGAGACTGGACTGACCCAGTCACAACATAGCTCCTGCTTTTATCGCTATCACCCAGATGTGGTATCGGCGTATCGAACAACCCGTGCGACTGGGTTCATGGTATGCCATGAATGGCGTGGTCTACATGGTTAGCCCCTACCTTTCAAAACTCGTATTTCCTTATCTAACACACGGGCTGCGGCCAGTTCGGAAGCCTCATCACTTATGGGCTTGGGCATATCAATTCTTCGGTGTTCGAGCCCTATCAGATCATCTTCTTGTTCTTTGGTCTCCTGACAATTGTCTTCTCCGTGGTCATATTCTACGCGATGCCCGACTCACCCGTTCAATCGAAGTTTCTGGGGGAAGAGGACAAGCTAATGACTATCGAACGACTCCGCATGAACCAGCAAGGGCTTGAAACCCACGTGTGGAAGTGGGAACATGTCAAGGAGGCTTGTCTTGACCTCAAGTCTTACTTTTGGTTTGCGTTCACCTTTTCAATCTCGTAAGACAACCCCCCCCATTGCCTGAGGCTCGGATGACCAATTTTACCCTTCCAAAGGATTCCTAGTGGCGGTATCTCGACATTTGGTCCATTGATAATCGAGGCCTTCGGGTTCAATCAGTTCCAAACGATTCTGTTTAATATCCCATTCGGTGCGGTTCAACTGGTCGCAACGATGGGTGGAGCTTGGCTGGCGACTTTCCTCAAGATGAAAGGCCCCGTGATTGCGCTGCTATGCTTGCCTGCTATTGCAGGCTGCGTTATGTTGCTGGTCATTCCCCATGATGGCCAACACAATGGAGCGTTGCTCGCAGGATACTACATTGTGAGTTGCAGCGGCTTCATTGGACTAGAATATACACTGACCGGCTTTCAGGTGTCTGTCTACCCCGGAATCAGTATGTTAATCGTCTTGTTGTGCGTACGATGCAATCTGACAAGAGATGCAGCCCCCCTGATCTATTCTTGGTCAGCAGCAAATACAGCCGGTGAGACGAAGAAGAAGATAGTGAATGGAATTGTCCTGGTGGGCCAATGCGCTGGTAACGTAGGTTTTGCACTTGAGTCCAGTACGTGGCTTCTATGCTGATTTTGGAGAACAGGTCCTGGGCTCGAACTTATACACCACTACAGACGCGCCTTTGTATCGACGAGGCTTGCGGTCTAAGTAAACTGATCCCCGATACTCATCTTAATGGACCAAGAATACTGATGATAGTTTGCAGTCTTGCGATGTTCTGCGTCTTGGTTGTGCTATGCATGTAAGTCTTCCGTCTCAAACGCTATGATCCTCTGCTCACCAGCCTAGATTGAACATGGCCTACCTTTTCTTCCTCAACAAGAAGCATGAGAGACAGCGAGTATCAATGGGCAAGAGCGCCAAAATCGTCGATCACTCGATGCAAGCTGTTGGGGCGGCCGAGGGCGACAAACTAGAAGGACTGGTGCAAACTGCTGTAACGGAGGACAACGCATTCAAAGACCTAACGGACTGGTTGAATGAGGACTTTGTGTATGTGTATTAGCGCTAGTTGTACTCGGAGGCTTCACGAACGACGTGTGGTGAAGTGAAGTACGCGTGGGAAGTTGTATGGCTAGAGTTCAATGAAGGCGTGCAATGTTTTTATCGTACTGTAGAGTAAGTTTGTAGTTCAAATATAGGTTAAGTCAGTCGGTAGATGGAGCTTGAATGAGAGCATACCTTCTAATATAAAAAGCTGGTGCGCGAGCAAGAGGACGATGTTGATGGTTCGGTATGTACAACAAGCCGCCTGCCAATACACATTAGCCGAGCCGACGACTGTTGATGGCTTGCGTCGCCCCCGCCTTTGGCATTGCTCCACGACCCACTCTTTGGTCTGCCATGTACATGCAGTATTTCAACATCGGGCACTACTATACAACGCTGCGGGAGGAGACAGTGACCGGCAGCTTGCGAAGATGGAATCAGATGACTCCTCATGCGTGAGACAACTTCCTACCGGCAAGAAACGGATTCCAGTATAGTTACTCGTCCTCTCCTGCTTGTCACTGTCGGAAGACACTGCATACAGTGACTGACCACCCCCTCGGCAATTTAGAAAGCATGCAGTGCTTGTCGACAGTCGAAGGTAGATCCTGCTTTAGCTTTTTCCATCCTTGATCACTAACAGCCCGTGGCAGGTGCGGTGTGATGGGAAACGGCCCTGCTCGAGGTATCCCATCCAGCGCTCTCCCCATCGCAAACTCAAGCCGAGCATCCTCGATTGACGCATACCAAATAATAGGTGCAAGCGATCATATAAACAATGCATCTTCTACGAAGTTCCTAAAGATCCCACCACCGAGTATGCCCAATCATTCATCCCACATACTTCTTCCCTTCCATCCCGCAGCACCACCATATCAGTTTTCTAATACCTACGCAAGGAGACTGGAGAACGTCGAATCTGAAGTGCAACGTCTCCGTGCACAGATAGAAGCCATGGGCGAGATTTTTCGTCTCTCCACGCAGCAATTGCCACCAGAAGGTCTCGGGCAAGTGCAGCACGCTCAGGGCCAATTCGTGGATCAGCATCGTGCATACCCCGCCGAAGCACCTTTCCTGACTTCGAATCATGCGGCTTCTCATTCAGGAGGCATGTCCATGCTTTCCGCCGCGGCGACTTCTGCTCTCAATTCCGAGAGGGGATCCGAGTTGCATCCACAAAGAGGATTGCCCTCCTCGTCGCAGATTCGATCCGCGATGGACGAGGAGACAGTTCGTCCGGTCAAACGGAAGCGCTCTGGATTTGAGGTTAAGGAAGAGCCCATCTCGGACTTCGTATCTCAGGGCTTGATGACTGCTGATCAAGCTGTCGCTTGTTTCAGAACGTATGCGCTTCTATCTCAGAGATGTGACTCAATGAGACATGCTGACAGTGAGGGAACTAGGTTCTTCCAGGGCTGCGTATGTACTGCTCGACGCTGGACGGACCTAGCGAGTATCACATGCTGATGAGCTTTTCAGGATAGGTACATCCCGATTTTCGATCCGGAGGTCGACACCTTCACCTCGGTACGCTCTCGCAGCAGCATACTGCTGAACGCGATTTGCACGATTGGCAGCCGTGTTGGAAGGAGTGTAGCGACGGGTAATCTGCGATCCTTTGCCCCAGCTTCCCTGATATGATAGCATGCTGAGTGGTAGTATGCAGGCCCCGGATCTCAATTTCCCGATCTGCTGCATGCGGAACTCAAGAAATGGATTGGCATTGTGATCCAAAACAAGAATCTGAACTGCCTGGAGTCGGTGCAGGCGCTGCTCATCGTCGCGTGCTACACCGCCGAACGCTCGCTGATGCTATCCTTTGCTACCAGAATGGCGTTGGACCTTGGTCTGGATGAAGCGTTCGAAGAGCTGATCCAGCTATTAACGTTGAAGAGGACTAGTGACCCGTTGAGAATTCCCGGTGATAGCGTGGAAGCACAGGTGCGCTGTTTGATGCGGAAGTCCAGGACATGGTTTGGGCTCCTGGTTCTGGATCACATGTAAAAGCTCCCCTCAAGTCACTCATGCTGGGTATAATTAATGGCCATTGTGCTCAGATTTCATGTCGACGGCGGCAAGCCACCTGGGATACGAATGATGGGAAATGCTCGGCGATGCCGAATCCTGCTACATCATCCTTCGTCGACAGTATTAGATATGCGTCTTTTCTCTCAGGTTGAGGTAAGGTTCTGACAGTCGTGTTGGGAAATGGGTAGCTGATCGTCGATATAAGTTGAACGTTATTCGAGGTATGCGTCTAGGGCTGTAGCCAGAGGGTGCGGTGCAGCATACTAATTAGCGATGGATATAGCCAACATCAACGACACACTAGACATCCGAGACAGTCTGACTCGAGAAGCAATTGCTGAGTTTGTACACGAGGTCAAGGTCGACCTTCATCTCTGGTTTGAGTGAGTTCCTTGTCCTGCCCACAAGTCCCAAACTAACGTGCTCAGTGACTGGCAGCGCATCATCGGTGAGCAGCCCTCCTCGATCTTTCTAGCCCTAGGGCCACAGCGTGTAACTTATACTGAACGTCACCCTCAAAGTCAACTCCCAGACAGCCCAAGACGAACGACCATTCCTACTGGCCGCACTGAGTGTCCAACACTGCTGGGCCGAACTCATCCTCCACTGCAAAGCGCTGCGCTCCATGGGCGTGGAGAACGTAGCGTAAGTCCAGCACCAGTCTCCAATCCTTACAACACAGCTATCTACAACGAGCCATACCACCTCATCCTCCATAGCCCCGTTGAATCAGATACCCAAACACTAACCCCTGCGTTACAACGAAACAGAGCAATCGCCCCTGTAGAGCTTAACATCCTGAGCCTCGCCAAATCCGCCGCCCGCCAACATCTCCGCCTCATCAGCCTCGAGCCCGCCCACTACCTCGCCAAGCTCAAATACGCCATGGATTTTGTCTGGGCCAAATGCGCCTTCTGCTTCCTGCTGCTGCTGAAACTCTCCCGCCTCCTCCCCGAACAGCGGGACGAACACGAGGAGCTGCTGCAGCTCGGAAACAAGCTCCTGTGGGAGTTGACCCGGTCGGCTGAGGGCGGGGAGACATCGGCTCCCCTCGATCTGGATATTGCACCGTCTAGAGGTCGTCATTGTGCCGAAGCGGCGACAATGTCACCGTCCTCACGCATCACCGATCCTGGAACAAGAGCGCCCGCGGTTCAGTGCCTGGCATCAGGAACAGGTACAGGGTTGGGGAACGTCTACATGCATATCCTCCGCTTGAGCATCGAGAAATACAGCCGCATATTTCAGGGACAGCAGCGGGGGGAGAGGGGGGCAAGTGGCAGCAGCAGCAGTCCTGGTAGTGGGGACGGTGCGACTACCACTGCAGGTGTGGAGGCAGCAACAGCAGAGGAGCCGACGACAGCAGCGGGAGCAGAACAAACCTCTTCTTCCTTCTGGGACCTGTTCGACGCGCAGGTCGATCTGCAGTCGTTCGTGCCGGAACAGTTTGTGCGCGACTGGAATTTCCCCGGGCTGAACCTGTTCTATTTCCCGACGGCGTGGCAGGATTTCTTTGGGGACTTTTCGTTGGGGTTTGGAAGCTGATTTACGCCAGTCGATTGTCCGCGGAAAGTTGTATCATCTGTTGCGTTGGAAGAGTCAGGGGTGGGGGGTGTATTCTGGTTTGATACTTGCTTGTTCTTGGTGTACAGGCCAGGTCAATTTGGTATTAATGAGCAATAAAATCCAGCTGCTGTGTTGAATCTGAAATTGCCTGCATGAAAAAAAATCTATCCAAGGTATGATTCCCGCTAAACAGCGACATCGAATATCCAGTCTAATAAGAAAAAAAATGCCACTTTCCCTCCCTTTGCCTTTGCTTCTGGAAATGGTTGGATGTTCGGACAACGAGAAGATGATAACAAAAATGCAGGCAGGGTATTTCGAATTGAGCTGTTGAATTTCTTTGGGACTTTTTTTTTGGTTTTTTTTTCAATTTATATACCTCATCCCAGGGCTCTCATCGTGAGCTCGACACTGTGCAACCGAAAAAATTAGCATTGGGTCTACCGTCCAAGACACAAACGAAAAGGGGGTAGGGTAAGGTAAGGCAGGAAATCCAAACATACACCGCAAACGTCCCCGCGGAGACGGGCATGGCCCTCAGCAAGGTGGGCCCAATCCCCTTCCAGAACCCGGCCAGCCCCTCAGCGGCATAAGTCTTCTTGAAGCAGTCGGTCATGCTCTTGAACTGCTGGCTGGCCCCGAACCCATCGCACTGCATCTTGCTCTTGACGACGTCGAAGGGGTAGCTGCTCAGCCAGAGGACCTCGCCGGCGAGGCCGCCGTAGGTGGCGACCTTGAGGCTGGAGATCTCCTCGCGGCGGACGCCGTTGCGCTTTGCGTCGGCGTTCATCAGGTACTCGAAGGCCAGGAACCAGGTGCCGTAGGCCTGGATCTCGCGGAGGTAGGTGACGTTCTGGCCGCGGTAGAGGCCCTTCAGCACGCCGCCCTGGCTGCACAGCTTGCGGATGCAGTCGATGGGCCCCTGGTACAGCTTGTTGGCCCCGTGCGGCTGCGTCTGCAGCCGGATGCGGATGTGCTCGATCGGCCCGGACAGGAACGAGTTCGTGATCCCCGCGAACCCGCCCGCCAGGTAGTACTGCGTGTAGGAGAGCGTCGCGTCCGCGTATTTCTTCTTGTTGAGCGCCTCCAGCCGTCGCCGGGCTTCGTGGAACGCGCCGAATTGGACGCTCACCTGCACATGGAGGGGTTAACACGGGGGATGTTGAGGTAGGAGGGCGGGTTTCCCGGGGCAGAAGGTGCCCCCCCGGGAGAAAAGACATAAGACATACGCAGGCTCCGATACCGATCAGAGGTGTCAGGGTACCCTTGTAGAAGGCCGTGGGTCCCTCATTCTTCAGGATCTTGGTGGCGCAATCAAGCGCACTGGCGTACTGCGTGGTTGTCTGCAGGCGGACCTTGACGATATCTATGGGAGAGGGGCCATTGGTAAGAAGCTTGCGAATGGACAAATCTTGAGAGCATTCGTTTACCCACCAAAAGGTTGACCTAGAGAGTCGTTAGCACTCAGTCAATGTGCGACGCGATCGGTTGGTAGCGATGGTATTATGTCGTTGCGGCATGCGGAGAGAGATTGGAAGGTCGATGCCCATGGCTCCAATTGGGGGATACATGACGCATGGCTAGCAGAGATAACGGGACAAAATAGCTGAGCACTTACCAATGAGCACCTGAGCGATGCCGCCAGCAGCACCGGCCGTCAAGTCCTTGACAGCGCGAAGACTGCCGCCGCCTTTCTGCATATCCTCAAAAGCCTCGGACTCCATTGCGGGGAACTTGATCACGCCCGGAGAAGTGAATTTAGGTGGAGTGGAGAGGAGATTCACAGGAACTGGAGTTTGGAGAGTATCAGAAAGGGCCTTTCCTCGGTCCAAGCAGTACAGAAACCTTCAGCGATCGGTATGGAGAGGAAAGATCCTGAGAAGAAGCAGCGAGGAGGCAGGGGAGAAAGAGAAGCTTATCGGAGAGCGATGAGGTGATAGCCCCATTTCCCCGATCGCGGCCTCCGATTCGGCAAAGGCGCCGACGACGCACGGGAAGCGGGACAAGCATAACGCTGAGTCAGCTGCACACACTCTTCACTGTAACTTAACTTAACTTACAGTACCTTACGGTCATCTTACACCCAAACTCAATGCGGTAGGATCGGATCGTATCCATCCATGATGGAAGTTAACGGGCGGAGGTTGAGTACTTCCATGTCCGTGACGTCTCCGACAACTTTCCCTCCGCCGCAGCAGTTTTGACGCCACGGGAATCGCTGCGAGCAACGACCTTCATCATGCACAGGCGAGCTGCGTTGGAGGTGAGCATATCATCTAGGATATATCTATTGATACTTTCCCTCAGACACTAACGTACAAAATCGCTCCTAGCTTTCTCGCCGTCAAGGTGTCGATTGGTCCTGCGCAACTGCCCGCAGAAATGCGGCTTTCGCCCCAGTGTTGAATCCTGTGCCCCGGAGGGGTTTTCGAGCCTTTCCCGCATGTGCTGACTCCTCAGACTCTCCAAATGGCTCCGAAAAGCCCCGGAAATTTGCCTCCCGTTGGGGAAGCAAGGCCACGCGATCGGTAGGCCTGAGCCCGGCCGAGCAGGCAATACGAGATGCTATGGTGGCGAAACAGCAGGAGAAATTACGGGAAGAGCAAGCACGCCAGGATGCCTTGCTGGCAGAAGAGAGAGCGAAGCAGGAGCGGAAGGATGCTCTAATAGCAAGGCAGAAGGCGAAGGAAACAGAAGACCAGGCCCGGCAAAATGCTTTCATAGCCAGACAGAAGGCCAAGCAACAGGAAGAAGAAGCACGCCGAGAAGCGAAGAGACGGGAAGAGCAAGCCCAGCAAGAGGCTTTAATAGCACGACAGAAGGCGAAGGAAGAGGAAGATCGGGCCCGGCGAGATGCTTCAATAGCACAACAGAGGGCGAAGGAAGAGGAAGATCGGGCCCGGCGAGATGCTTCAATAGCACAACAGAGGGCGAAGGAAGAGGAAGAGCAAGCACAGCGAGACTCTCTGCTGGCGGCACAACAGGCGAATCAACAGGCGCAGCAGGCCAGTCAAAGCATCAATTCCCTGGAAAATCCAAACAACCCTGCTGGTACAACCCCTCCAATCTCCTCGCAAAGCCCTAGAACAAGCTCTCCCACTGGCGCAAAATTCACTTCCCGCTGGGGAAGCAAAGCGTCCAGACCCACGGGTCTGAGTGCGGCCGAGCAGGCGATGCGAGATGCTTTGGTAGCCAAACAGCAAGCACAGCAGGATTCCTCAGAAACCAGTTCCTCAAACACACCGTCAGAATCATCCGATAATCTCAAACAGGGTTCCGCCGAGTTCACTATTCGGCTAGGAGATAAGAGATATATAGCAACGAGTCTGACCCCGGAAGAGAAGGCAGCGCGAGACGCTCTGGCAGCCAAGCAACAGGCGCAGAAGAATCTTTCAGAAACCACCTCAGAGACCTCAGATAAACCCGCCGACACTCCCCTCTCAGAATCCTCGAATGGCTCGGCAGAAGGTTCTCCCGCCAAGACGGGGTTTACTATCCGTTCAGAAGATAGAAAAGTCCAATCAATGGGCCTGAATGCGGAAGAGAAAGCAGCACGAGATGCTCCGGTAGCCGAACAACAGGCGCAGGAGAGTCCGGTGGATCTCCCCTCCTCACAAACTTCGAACAAGTTTGGAACGGGTCGCAAATTCGCAGCTCCTCGTTGGGGAAGTAGGGCCACGACATCCACTGGCCTGAGCGCGGCAGAGAAGGCAATGCGCGAGTCCCTGCTCGAACAGCAACAGAGTCAACATAAAGCTTTGCACGGTGATAGGTCACATTCAAGGTGGCAACATCAAGGATCGTGGTCACACCAAGAGCGCTCCATCGAGCACGGTGGCTTCAGGTCGCACAGAGATCGCTTCGACTCCCGGCGAACGAACGATCGGTATGACAGCAATTGGCGCTCCTCCGAAGACATGGTGTCGCAAGATTCTAGACGTTTTCGGCCTGATGGGCCAAGGCGCAGTCGCTACGATCACATTCCCGAGCACCTTCAGACGGTGGATTGGACCTGCCCAGACTGCCATTATCTTTGCCCCGGGACGGAGAGGGCTTGCCCTTGCTGCCGGGCCCCCAGGCCTGAGCTAATGTCGGAACAGTCGAACAAGCCCTTGACCATTCGAAAATTGGACAGCAGCAGTACACCATCGTGGGATGAGAGAGACCAGGCTTTGGACGAATATGCCACGAGATATGAAGAAGAGCAAAGACAGCAGCAGGAGGAGTTGGAAAAGCAGACGCAAGACAAACCACAAAAGTCCGTCAACGACTGGTCATGGGATACCTCCGCATTGGAGAAGCTCAGTGCGGGGCAGGAAGTGGGAAACTCATCTGACAGGGGCTTCAAGCGACGAGGGGGTCGCGCGAAACCCCTCACGTTCGCGGATGAGGATGAATTTGATACGGAAGACTACCAGCGACGTCGTCAACAAAAGAAGGACAAGAAGCGCAAGAAGAGGGAGGAGCGGAAAGAAGAAATCGAGGCGGAAGTCGCTGAGCCCAGTCCTCTATATCTGCCCGAGTTCATCAGCGTCAGCAATCTCGCGGACATCATCGGTGTGCGACAGGCACAATTCATCCAGCGAATGGAAGAGATGGGCTTCGAGGACGTCACGCATAGCCACATTCTGGATGCCGAAACCGCTGGGCTCATCGCCGCCGAGTACAACTTCGAGCCCATCTTTGACACCGGTGAGGACGAGCTGACCGCCGCGCCGGAGCCCGAAGATAAATCGAGCCTGCCACCCCGGCCGCCGGTGGTGACGATCATGGGCCACGTCGATCACGGCAAGACCACGATCCTGGACTGGCTTCGCAAGTCCTCGATTGTGGACTCGGAACACGGCGGCATCACCCAGCACATTGGCGCCTTCTCCGTGTCCATGCCCTCGGGCAAGACGATTACCTTCCTCGACACCCCGGGTCACGCGGCGTTCCTGGACATGCGTCGCCGCGGTGCCGACATCACCGATATCGTCGTGCTGGTCGTGGCCGCGGACGACAGTGTCAAGCCGCAAACCATCGAAGCCATCAAACACGCCACGGCGGCCAACGTGCCGATCATCGTGGCCATGAGCAAGATGGACAAGGAGGGCGTCAACCCCGAGCGGGTCAAGCAAGACCTCTCCGTGCACGGCGTCCACGTCGAGGATTTCGGCGGTGACGTGCAGGCGATTGGCGTGAGCGGCAAAACCGGTGCCGGCATGCTGGAGCTTGAAGAAGCGATCATCACTCTTTCCGAGGTGCTCGACCACCGCGCCGACCCCACCGGCAACGTCGAAGGATGGGTGGTGGAAGGCACGACCAAGAGCTACGGGCGCGTGGCCACCGTGCTCATCCGCCGCGGCACCCTGCGCGTCGGGGACATTATCGTGGCCGGCGAAACCTGGGCGCGGGTGCGCACCCTGCGCAACGAGGCCGGGGTCGCCATCAAAGAAGCTACCCCCGGCATGCCGGTCGAGGTAGACGGGTGGCGCGAGCAGCCAACCGCCGGCACGGAGTTCCTGCAGGCGGAGCATGAGCAACAGGCCAAATCCGTCGTCGAATACCGAATCGAGCGGGCCGAAACCTCGAAGCTAGGGGAGGACACGACGGCGATGAACGAGGCCCGCCGCGAGCTGATGGAGCGGCGACGCCTCGAGGAAGCCGGACTGGACCAAAAGGAGGCCCAATCGGGCCCCAAGCCGATTCACTTCATCATCAAGGCGGACGTGCACGGGTCGGCGGAGGCGGTGCTGAACTCGGTGACGGCGGTGGGCAACAACGAGGTGTACGCGAACGTGCTGCGGGCGGAGGTAGGCCCTGTGAGCGAGTTTGACATCGAGCACGCGGCGTCGGCGGGCGGGCACGTCATCTCGTTCAACATGGCCATCGACCCGCGGATCACGCAGATGGCCGAGTCGCGCGGGGTGGCCATCAAGGACCACAACGTCATCTACCGGCTCATCGACGACGTCAAGGCGACGCTGAGCGAGCACCTGCCGCCGCTGGTCACCTTGCGCGTCACGGGCGAGGCCGAGATCGGCGAGATCTTCGAGATCAAGCTCAAGGGGCGCGAGCGCATGCAGATCGCCGGCTGCCGCGTGCGCAACGGGCTCATCAATCGCACCAAGAAAGTGCGCGTGCTGCGCGGCCAGGAGACGATCTACACGGGCACGATCGCCTCGCTCAAGAACGTCAAGAAGGACGTCACCGAGATGCGCAAGGACACGGAGTGCGGCATGGCCTTCGAGGGCTGGTTCGACTTCCAGGTCGGGGACCATGTGCAGTGCTACGAGGAGATCTTCGAGAAGCGCTATCTGTAGTGCTCGGTTGGGGGGGGGCTGTATTTTTAGATCTGCCTATTCTGTACTATCACGGATTCGATTGTATTAGGGGATTGTTTACCGCAAAGCATGTCTGATGCGAAAACAAGGGGGCACGGTTGATTCTTGTATATTAGTCTAAATATCCGGATACCACATAGACAACACAACTTTTGCATACCTACACCTCACTCACCTCATGATCAAGTCCGGGCTGTCCACACGTGTATATATACTGAGTGACCTATATATCAAACTCTCAACTTCAGCACTTTCCCCATCCCCATCCCATTCCCAATCCCATATAACCACCCGCTCGGGACAAAAGAACTATCGACTCTTCCACCGCACCCTCCCCACCCAGCCCGCCCAAACCCTCACATCCTCGCGCTCGCAGATCCGCTCCACAGTAAACCACTCCCTGGCCAGCTCCTCGTTGCTCGCCATCCGGTGCACAAAGCTGTGGCACGCGCGACACAGCCACGCGACACTGTTGAGCATCCACTCCGGGTGCCACCCCTTCTTGGTCACCTTGGCGTGCACGCTGCGCGGGATGAGATGGTGGTAGCTGAGCGGGATCCAGTCGCGGCCGCAGATCTCGCAGCTGTCGGTGCGGGTCGTCGCCCAGACCGGGGGCGGGCGCGTCACGGCGGCGAGGTACTCGGTGAGGATCGGGGTGAAGAAGGTGGTTAGGGCTTCTTCGTTTTCTTCTACTGCTGCTGCTGCTGCTGCTGCTGCTGAGGGTGTGGATGAGGGTTGGTCGGCGAGGATGGCGTAGGTGGTTAGGGTGTCGTGGACGGTGGCGGGGAGGGTGGTGGTGCAAAGGGTTGAGGCGAGGGTTTGGGGGTCGGTTTCTGAGGGGGAGGGGGTAGGTGTTGTTGTTGTTGTCGTTGATGATGTTGTTGTTGTTGTTGGTGGTGGTGGAGGAGTGTAGGTTAGGGTTTGGATGGAGGGGGGCAGGGCGGGGAAGGTTTCGGTTGCGAGGAACTGTTTCTTCTCTGTTAGGTTCAATTCAATTGTAATTGTGATTGTGATTGTGATTGTCATGCTTCGCGGGCTTCTGATGGGTCATTGGTATTCTTGTTCCATGGATGTGAAGGCATGCATGGAGTGCCCGCGGAGTGTTGAGTGAGTCTGGGTATGCCATGCCACACAGCGTGCTACTGGAAAGCAAACACCAATCCACAAGTCCACGTACATCAATAAACTCGGCCAGTTCCTCCGGACTCGCACGGTCAGGGAGAGATTGCGAGGCGTCAGCAGCTGCAGCTGCAGCAGCGGAAGTCCCCGCAGTCTCCTTGCGCGTCTTCTGGCGCTGCGACACGGCGCCGCGAGTGCGACGAGCTTTCTTGGGCTGCGCGGGGGTGGAGAATCTCTCCACGATAGCCGTGGACAGGCACTCGCGGAAGACCTGGTAGTTCTCTGTGCTGAGGGAGGCGGTCATCGATGCTGGAAACTAGAAGTAGAAGACAACGTTGTACTGTACCGAACAAAAAAAAGAAGAGGTGGCGGCGACGGCGGAAATGCGATGAAGATAGTTTGACATCATCAAATTGTGGGGTTTGGTATCCGCGGCGGGAGGCTGCTTGTTCCCATCCTTCTACTAACTTACTGACTCTGCTCCAACATTCCTGAACTCTGAACTGAATGAAATCCCTCCTGCATTATTGCAATCCTCATCAGCAACCCACCATGGCAGAAGTGGTCATCGCCTTCGACATCTACGGGACCCTACTCTCCCTTGAAACGGCCACGCACGAGCTGGAGCAGCACTTCCGGGGAGACGCCCAGCGCGCGCGCACCGTGGCCCAGACATGGCGACGCTACCAGCTGGAGTACACCTGGCGGCTGAACAGCATGGGTACGAGACCTCCATTCATCATTGATCCCTGCACCATGCACTACTGGAAATAATACCGTCCGAAGCAAACCGATCTAAGAACCCACGACTGCAGGACGCTATCTCCCCTTCGACGAAGTCACCCGCAACGCTCTATTGCACGCGCTCGACGACACCGGATGCTCCCTGGACGAGCTGGCCATCGACGGGGTTCTCGCGGCCTACGATCGCCTCCAACCCTTTCCGGACGTCGAAGAAGCCCTCCGGAAGATAAGCGCCACCGCGCGGATCAGGCCGGTGGTGTTCTCCAACGGGACCGTGGACATGGTCCGCGCCTGTCTCAGCCACGCACCGCCGCAGCTGCAGCAGCTGCAACTACAGAACATGGAGATCATCAGTGTGCATCCCCTACAACAATATAAGCCCGCCCCAGCGGCCTACAGTCATCTGCGGGAGCAAGTAGCCGGCACGGGCGGCGGCAGCAGCAGCAGCAGCACAGCGACGATCTGGCTCATCAGTGCGAATCCATTCGATATCGCCGGCGCGAGCAGTGCAGGCCTGAACACGATCTGGGTCGATCGCGACCAGAACCAGGCGGGGTGGACCGACCGAGCACTGCCTGAGGTCAAGCCTACGGCGACGATTCGTCGGCTGGCCGAGTGCGTCGACATAATTAAAGGCTACCAATAAAATGCACGATGTTTTTTTCTAGTCCCCTTCTTCCTTCTGTGTCAAGCCCAAGCCAGAACCAGAAGGCAAAAAGGCAATGGAAAAAAAGGTGAGGTGAATGTCCCGCTGTAGTAATTTCCAAACGCTCCACGCCAAAGGTAGAGAGAAGAGTCCGGGGTAAGTCAGCAGAGGTTGCTCTGACCTCCCATTTCCCCTTCAAGAACCCACAGGAAAAGGATTCTCGAAGTGAATAGGGAGGAGTGATCAGTATATGTATGAAGAAGAAAAGAAAGAAGTCGGAGGGGGGAGAAATTTTTCGTTCTTATAGGCGGCCGTTGACCGCCTTTTGCTTATCGATAAGCTAGGCTAGAGTTTCCAATTGCCAACGCTCGGGTAATTTTCCTGCGCCTGAGGCAATGAAAACGTACTTAGCGAGATTATGAGGAAACACGGGCAGTTTTGATGGTCGATACTTTCTCTTAAGTTATAGAGTATGAGCCACGGTGTATCTGTACTTGTATATGCATCCAAACGTAAACACAACTGTCCCAAACCCAGCCAACAACAAAGAAAGTAAGCACACAGCCACACCACCCAATAGTTGGTCCATACTATTACAAACACCCCATGCATATGCACAAGTAAACATGTCAACAAGCAGGCCGCTAATTCAGACAGACAGACAGACATACAACCCGATCAACCCCCTAGAAATCAGTTCAAGCAAAACTCCACCGAACTCCGCTGGACACAACATGCTAAAAACGAAAAACATCTCAATCAATCACCAAACAGTGCTAGTCAAGGACAAACAACGCAAGAAAACTCTATAATTGAAAAGCCATCCCCCCTTCTTCGGCGAATTTGGCCTGATATTCCTTGATGCCGGCCCACTGCCGCAGCTCCTCTTCGTCCCGGTCGTGGTCGCTTAGATAACTCATGGACCGTCCGGAAACGTCTGGTTGTTGTCGAGCCTTGCTCGAATCGGTCGACCCAAAGCCTTCGAGGCGCATGAGTGTGTCAATAAAGGCGCGGAGGTATGACTCGACTTCGGCGCTGGTGAGGGGTTGTGGTCCGCTTATCGTGGAGGTGGCATTCGGATTCGAAAAATTCAGGAGGGTTGACGCAACCTGGCGCACTTTCGCCGTCTGTTTCCAATAGCCGATGAGTATTTGTTTGAGCTGTGACGGGAAAGGAAAGAGGGGGAACACCTACAAAGCTCGCGCCGTTAGGCTCCATATTAACCTCGTTGACCGATTGCAGTAATGCGAACAAGTCCCGAATCACGAGTCGTCTTTCTTCAGCCATAGTCCTTCCGATGTAGTCGGACTGGGCATCCGCGTCCATGGCCGCCTGGGTATGGGGTTGGCCCCCTTCAGTCTTAACAGCCACCGAAGGACTGCCAGAAGGATGCTGCTCGGTCGGCTTTTGGTGCATCTTCACAGCGCCGTACAAGGACCAGTATTTCTCCACCAGATAAGACCGTACAGCAAGCTGACTGGCATATATGTTCGCCTTCTGGATCTCATACTGTATGTGACATTTATAAGATCGCGAGTCATTCGTGCTGGACAGTGGGCTAGGGCTATCTTGTCCATTGGTGGATGCTGGGCTATGGATTCCCCCTATCACCAGCTCCCGTGGAAGCTCATTGAAGGCCATCTTGGCATTCTGCAGGCACTGACACAGAAGAGAGCGTTGCCGCTCCCATTCCAGAATCTGGCCGCTACCAAAGGCCGTCTCCCAAGCCGAGAGCTGATTGTAGGAGCTCATCACGCGGATGTTGGCAATAAACCCCACCAAGCGCGACACGCGATTGGACGGCTGGGGATCGAAGTGTGTGGCATAGATAAACTCGTCGTCGACTTCAAGCGGGAGAGGAGGATAGCGTTCTGTCGGGGTTTCAGGGGGGACATGAATGATGGTGTCGCCTCCGCCCAACTGCTGCATCGTGCGATAACCGACAAGGACGACGTAAAACAACCGCCGTCCCAGTTCCCGCTCGATAATGTTGACTTGGGCTTCTCCGGAGCTACCGTTGGGTTCCTGAGAAAGACGCGACGAGGCAGACTGGGGACTGGAGATGGTGACATAGGATAGCCGATTCGAGTGGCGGTAAAGGTCATACACATGGAGCATGGTGAGGCATTCGGCAAAATATACACGGCATCGCCGAATATGCCAAGCGTAGCAGGAGCAGAGGCCGAGAAGGTAGCTGAGAGCGGCATCATACACGGTCGCGGTCCGATCGAGGTATCCGGTACCTCGAGCCTGAACGGCTACCTCGTGGCACCGTTTAACCAGTGCCATAGAGTGCGGGAACGCCGCCTTCTCGGCATCTGTCGTCAGATGACGCTTCGGCCTCCGAGGGAAAGACGCGACCGACGTCCCGATCATGGCGGCCGCGAGGGCCAGAAAGGTGCGATTGGTAAGATCCTCTCGCCGCTCCAGCGCGGCGCGGAACGTGGGCTCATGAGGGATCGGAACTAAGGGGTGAATATAGGTGAAATAGTCATCAATCAGCAGCCGAATGGTGGGCATCGAACAAATGGCTTCCAGTGATGCGGGATAGGGAAGTGAGGGTGGGATGCCGCCTCCCCCAGGGGTTGGGGGAATAGGCGAGGTTGCATCCGATGGGCTTGGAGAACCCGAGGGAGATTCAGCGAGTTTTCGCTTCTTGAAAGCTTCAGCATGCCGGTTTGGCGGTCCCCGACGACGGCTTGGCCGCTCATACGTGCAGGGGATGTCCAAGCTTGCGCATGACCGACAGGGTGGTCCGCTGGTGTCACACTGTGGTCAATCCCAACGCAAATCAGCATAATCGACCTCTTGCCAAATACAAAATCGAACATCGGACCAGTAGGTGTATGGATGTACCTTTACTTTCCGAATGCTGCAGGCATCGCACGCCTTCCGCAGGCGGGTTCGTTGGTCCATGAATGCAAATCGAGCTTGTTGAGCCTTTCCATGCTTTGTGGGCGTGGACCCTGAAAAACTGCACGCTGGTCGCTTTTCTCCCGACAGTGACCAGGCGGCGCTCGCATACTACGGACCCAGCAAAATGTGGCTTGGCCGGATGCTGCAGCGGCGCTGTCGGGCACGGGGCGGGATGGAGCGGATGCGAGATGAGATGAGATGAGATGAGATTGAGTAGTAGTACGTAGCTAGTTAATGAAGAAGATCCGGAGAAGGGCACAACACGAATCACGGTTTAGTCGGTAAGGGTAGGCTCTTAGGCTATATGCAAAAAGTATTAGTGGGCAGCGGGTTTTGGACACTAGGTTGACCTCGATGACCCGTTAGTTTAATAATATTGTTCTTGCACCTGGCAGTGGCAGCAGGAGTGACCGGAGAGGTGGGGAGGGAGGGAGAGAGGGGGGGGGGGAGAAGGAAGATTGAGCAGTGGGTTAGACTCAGTAGTATAACGGTCCCCCGTTCCGATGAGGTAAAATGAAGGGTTGATCACCATATAGAGGTTAGATCATTAAAGATATGGGTATAGTCTCCATCGAAAATTGGGAAATAGTCTAGGCTGACAACACGTCTAGAAGGACCACAAAGCCGTTGAGTGAAGGTTCCCTGGAAGATGTAGGGAGGCCAGTGAGCCACGGGAGGGAAGGAAAGTGAAGAAAGTGACCCCGGAGTGACCTCATGAAATGAATGGAATTGATAGGACGCGGACGCATGGGAAGAGGATTAACCACGGACCCAAAGATTCCCCGCCCAGGTGGAGGTAGAATTTTGGGGCCTTTTGGGACGACAAGCTTAGGCGGACTGGCTGGAATGTACTTTAACTTGGGTCGACTCCGCCGTCGATCGAAAAGTGCAGGTCCAATGGTAGCCCAATGGTAAACCACATCGATCACCCGGGATTTACCGCCGGGATTTACCGGAGGGTACTCTGCACAGTCACACAGTACTCAGTACTCAGTACTAGGTGGATGACCATTTTGGTTGGTTCTAGAAGCTGACCCCTGTCATAGACCAGTGTTTCTGATTCTCGTTCTTGGGAACTTTGGGGGATGAGATGGTGAAACGACCGAGGACAAGGAAGCACCATGTTTTTTTGAAACGTGGTTGTGCGTTTTCCACGTGGAAGAGGAGAAATCGAAGATGAGGAATGCTTGGTACGTATACGTCACAGTTTATCGACCTATGATGGAGGAGCAGTGAGCAGGGAGCAGGGAGCAGGGAGCGACCAACTGCGTAATGAAAAGAGTGCTACTCAACAGGCAATACTCATTCATCCTCATTTCATACTATGTAGATTGCCCTGTGTACGGAGTACTGTCTTCGGAAAATAGATTGCGGTTCGTGCCTCTGTATGGCAGGGCTGGCAGTCCACTGGCTGAACCAAAGAGGGAGATCGGAATAGCGGGTGAGTCGATACGGCAAAGCCCAGTGAATAAAGTGATCCATGATCCATCCAGGATCCATGAGGGATCCATGATCGGTGGACAGTCGGCCGCCGGCGCCCCGGTAGAGTTTGCCGTCAGGGGGAGATTCCCTTTTGGTCTTCTGCACCCGCACGCTAACCGGCCCCTAAAAGAAGTTAAGGTCATCAACCTTGCTGCTTAATCCCGCTGAAACTGCAGGCAACGGTGCGTCCAGATGGAGGGTGAGTTTGTAAGCTTTTGGGAGGAATGAGCGCCCTCCTCCCCGGTGAGACTAGACTCTGAACAATGGAAACATTAGCCATTCTCTCCCTCGGCTTTTCCGAGCCGAGGCAGTATGAGAAGTTGGTTTGGTGTATTGAAGCCCCTCTCCCTTACACGAGAAAATAAATAACACAAAAAGAAAAAAAAACAGAGGAAAAAAAACATAAATCTCCCAAATTATTATTGACATAAACACAAGGGAAAAATTGGAAACAAAACCGAATATACAAGTGCTAATACCGAGACTAATGCCAAGATGCACATCAACTGGGCGTGATGATTAATTAGAGTAAAAGAAACGCCTCACAAAAAAGTCTCATATATTAAAAGTCATACCTAATCAATCAATCATACATCAGAAAAGAAGACTGGGGAAAAAAAAAAGGAAAGACAAAAACAAACATGCATCGAACCGCTCGCCCACATCATATCAAAGGATCGTCGTCGCGGTAAACACCATCTCGCCCAGGCCTCCTGCCCAATAGATCGCGTCGATTTTCCAGCTCCACTGCCCAAAGTGCCGACCCAACCGCGGTCGACATGAGGAAGAACATGGACAAGATTGGAACTAGCTGAAGCACCAGGGCGACCGTCCCAAATCTAGGGTTGGGGTTAATTAAGTATCCGAGTCGGTGGATCCTTCCTCCGAGAGGGCGGCGTGCACCGTCCGCCCGAGGGATCCAGGGTTGCTTGGTGGTAAGAGTCAAGGTCCTGTACTTACGTAGTATACTGCAACTGCCGGCGACGGATCCTCTCCTTCCGCTGCTGCTTCGAGAGATCCAGCAGCTGGAAATAGCGCCAGTGGTGGAAGGGCCCCGCCCGGTAGCCCGTCAACACGAGGAACATGAGGGTGCCGCCTGGGAAGGGAATAAGGTTCAGCGGGAGCAGCACGACGAATTCCAGAATCTGTCGCAGGGAGAACGGCGCATAGACGGCGCTCTGGGTGGGCTTGCCGAGTCGCTGGACGACATCGTCGCCCTGCGGGTATAGGACCCGCGAGGCATTCACGAGGTCGCCGTGGCCTTCGCTCACCAGCACCGCGTCGAAGATGTCCACCAGCGTTTCATCGACGAAAAAGGCTTCGAACAGAACCGCCACGATCGCGGCCCCTTCTCCGAGAACGAGGACCGCGCCACTAACCCATGCGCCAGCTCCCTGGAAGATAGCGAGGAAGGCCACTTGCGGCAGGTACGCAAACAGGAATAGCAGGACGTAGATGAAGGCCGAGAGCAGGACAATTGGAATCAACCGAGCCCTGAACAACGGCCAAAGGTATCGGTGGGAGAAGGTGAAGTAGATTCCCTGAGAAATGGTCTATGTCAGTCCACTGTGCTGGAGAGAGTGATGTGAATGCGGAATAGGCAGCAGGAAAGGGAGGCAAAATAGCCCGACATACACGCAGAGGATACAGCCACGCTGCTCTACTGTGATCCCATGCTCTGTCAGACATTCCCAATTGCTGTAAGCACGAGACAAAGCCCGCGACAGATAGACACGTGCGAAGTGGGAAAGAGCAATGGATCGAGGGTGAAGGAAGATGGATGAAGTAGTTAGGCGACTGTCAACAGACCAAGTATTGCCGCTGCGGCATCATCATATCACGCGCCAAGCAGGTCTGCCTTATCGATAAGGAAGTAGATTGTGGGCTATCGATACGGAGATACTTTCACCGCTTTCTCTAATCAGAAATATTTCAGTCCACCTACTGTGGATTCATGCAGCTTTTTTGTATAACTGCTCGTAGCTCTTTCTCAATCTAAACTAAGATACACTCAATTTCCTGCGTGGTCTGTGTAAGTTGAGACTCCATAGCTTCCTATAACTCGAAATTACTGATCCTAGCCATTTATTACCATTAGCATGTGTAGGAGTAAGAGATTTCCTGTTAGCTGGACATGAAGGAAAAGAAAGAGAAATGAAGACAAGGGACTTCGGGGAATGGAGGCTCGCTCTATATTCTGAACTTATCATTAGACAATCTGCAATGAAACAAACCACCGACCCCCACAAAGGACAAAACTAAAATCCTCCAACTTCAACAGTCGTAGTCACTGTTTCCTTGACCCGCTCAGTCACCGTCACCGTCTCCTTTTCGGTGGTGGTCACCGTTGCAGTTTCAGTAACAGTAAAGAAGCCAGACGGGGTAACCGGGACGATTTTAATAATATTATCTCCTGGGGAGGTGGCTGGGACGGAGTTGGTAGACTCTGCGTTGGCGGTGATGATAGAGGCACCGTCTTGTGCGGGATCGTCTCCTTGTGGAATTGAGGTGGTCATTGCTGCCTCTGCTGTACTCTGAGACAATTCTGCTTCTGAAGCGGTGGTGGGAATAGCGATGATGACCGTCTCGATAGCCGTGGAGGTTTGCTGAATGGTCGTGACATCGTGGGTCTCTTCAGTTGTTGGGGTGGGGACGGCGGTGATAGTCGCGAAGGCTGTTATGGTTTGATGAATGGTTGTTGTGATATCAGGGGTCGCGCTAGCAGTTTCTATAGCTGTGGAAGTTTGAAGTACTGTAGTTGTGAGGTCGGAGGTTGGTTCCGGAGTGGTGGTAGGAACTAAACTTGTCGTCTGGACAGTATTAGTGGGAGTTGTAGACAAAGGCGTCGAGAGCTCGTTGGGCTCAGGGGATGGAGTAGAACCCGTGAGCCCTGTATTGGTAGGCGTCACAGCATCTACGTCGGACTCAGAGATAGTGGCTGACTCCGACGCGAGGTATGAAGTCTCGTACAGCGTGGTTGACGGGTAAGGAGTGACCAGAATGACGACTACCTGCGTTTCCTCGGGCTCGGTCTCAGTTACGGTCCCTGTGGCGGGGATCACGCCAATGAAAGGAGACGAGTTGACTTGAATTTGTGTTTGAGAAACCTGCGTGATCTCTGAGACACCGCTGGTAGTGCTCGTTTGTCCGCTTGTTTGTGCTTCTGTAGGGGCAATAATTGAGGTTGCTGCTTGGGCAACACTGCTCTTGCTGGAAGAGCCTGATGTCTCAGTTGAGGATTCTGAGTCAGGGGTAGCCTGAGATGTAGAGGTGGATGTGCTGAATCCAGGCAAGGTTTCGATGACACCGATCGACGGGCCAGAGGAACTTGTGGTCTCTGCTACGATTGAGGCCGAGCCCTCCGCAGAGCTTCTAGAGACAGAAGTTGACGTAGGTGTAACCGCAGGCGAAACCGCAGGTGTAAAGGACAATTGAGTGGTTGCGGACACGGAGGACCCAATGACAGTAAAAGCCAATGTAGGAGACTGGAAAAGCGGGCTTGAGGCGAGGGCGGTTTGCGGAGTCACCATGCTTGAGCTGAAAGTTTCCTGCATTGGCAGTCCTGTGCTAGCTGTTCCGGAAAAGGATTCCACGCTTGAACTCCCTTTTTGTCCGTCTGTTGCGCTTGGGATTGAGCTGTCTTGCACGGCTTGACTTGAGACAGACGCGGTTGGCACAATCGGACTGGAAAGAGAACTAGATGAGAAACCTGGCGATGTCTCTGAGAGAGCTGCGCTCGTACTTGACAAGGCTTGTTGAAAAGCTATATGTGAGCTAGCAGTAACAACGGCACTAGCACTGAAGCTTGGCGAGGCTCCTACGGTTATAGCACTCGTACTTGTTTGCTGAGCAACCAAGCTACTTGAGCTTGTCAGATCGCCTTGACTTGTCGCGCCTGTGTTGGTTGAAAGAACATCAGCAGTAGGAATAGGCGTGAACGAAGATTCTTGTACAACGGCGCTTATGCTGGGCAAAGTCTGCTGCAAAGCCACACTAGGAGTGGAGGGCTCTCCTTGTGTACCTGTACTTGCTTCAGCTAGAACTGTGCTAGAAGATATTTGCTGACTGGTTGGGGTCTGGGAATCCACGGAGGTTTCTGGAACAGCGATGCTGGAACCGGTCGTGTCTACCTGAGCTGTGGTGCTTGATCCAGCTACAGGTGTGCTAGATGTAGGTTGCTGAACAGTCGAGGCAATCGTGGGTAAAGGCTCGTCAGTCGAAATGCCGGCTACTGTCGCGCTGGAACCGGAGGCTTCTTGGACTGTCGCAGACGTAGACTGTGGCAAATTGGTAGGCGTCACAGGGACGATGGTCAAGAGGTCTTCATCTCCTTCGTCGAGGTCTCGAGACCCAAGTGAAATTGCAGCCGCAGGAGATTCATGCGAGGCTTGTGACAATGCACCAGAAGACTCCAGGTCCCTGGGTTTGTGAAGTAAATGAGCGATCGGGCCGGCCGAGCAAGGATAGGCGAAGACATAAAGAACGAGGGCAGCGTGGATTAGATGCATCTTGTAGAATGCGAAGCGATAGACTCGGGAATAAATGTTGGTGGAATATGCAAGAGAACGAAACTGTAGAGAAGGGACGTGGTGCGAATTGAAATCAACATGGCTTGCAGATCGGGTCAGAACAGCTATTTACCCATTCTGGCTTGAACGAAAGGTGATGAACAAGCAAGAACGATTAATGAGAGACAATGGCAAGAAAGGCTCAAAGACAGCAAAGAACAGTGTTTGGAGGGTGAGGACAGCCATCTCTTAAGCCCGGCCATTTTATTCAGGTCTTTGTCCAGC